CCGAGGCGGTCGGTGAATCTCATTCTCACCAGTATTCTTATGATGATGGTTTTGCAGGAGGGTACAAATGGGGTGGTAGTTCGAGCAACTACCAAGGCGGTGGTTATACAGGAGGTTACGGGGAGGGTGGTGGTTCAATCAACTACGGTGGATCGAGTAGTGCAAGATGGGACAAATACTCGCAACCTCCTCAACCAGCCGATGGTGTTGAATGGCCTGCTTGGGGGCCAGAGTGGTCTGAAATCGAGAATAACATTCGATCAGGGCGTACTTCGCATGAGCGAGAGGACGATGTTGGTGATCGTGGTCATGTTGATCCTTCTAGCCCGAGCTATCCATTCGAGTCGAGCGACGAGGATACTGAGGAAGATTTGAGATCAGTGAGCGAGGAGGAGGAAGATACTGATGATAACGAGGATGAGGCGGCATTTCGTGAGGCACCCACGCCATATTACACACAGGTTCCAACTCAATTTTTACATAGTTAGATTGGTCCCCCCGAGTTTGTCCCTTTGCCAGTGTACAATCCGACGGCCAATTTGGAGGTGGGTATGGCGTTCACATCGAAAGACGCTGTGCAGGATGCTTTTACAGAAGAGGCGTTGAGGCGCAATTTCGAGTGGAAGGTAAAATATTCTGACAGTAAACAACTACATGTCATATGCAAGCATGATGCAGAGGGTTGTACGTGGCAACTGCGGGCTGCAAATATGAAGAGAAAGGGTGCTTGGGTGATTCGCAAAGCTGAGACGATCCACACATGCTCCTCTTCTATACTTTCCCAAGATCACAGGCAACTAAAAGCAAAGAAAGTTGGGAGAACTATTAAGCACCTTATAGAAGCACAACCAGATATCAAGGTGAAAGCTATCATGGCAGAGGTGAAGGATCGACATTCTTACACGATACGGTACAAAAAAGCATGGCATGGTAAGCAGAAAGCCATGGCTGAGGTGTATGGTGATTGGGAGGATTCTTATGCTTTACTCCCTAGACTTATGGGAGCAATGGAGGAGTCCAATCCTGGGACTGTTTTCGTCCCAGTATACAACAATGTATACACTGAGGATCAAGTTCGAGTACAGGATAAGCTGATGTTCCATCGTCTTTTTTGGGCTTTTAAACCATGCATTGACGGTTTTGGGTTCTGCATACCGGTTATTCAGGTATAGAACCAACTGATGCCGATTTTAAATGTTGTATTATTTTCTGTTACGTAAATTTCATACTAATTAGATCCTAAATTTTTATTCAGGTTGACGGAACTTTCCTTACTGGGAAGTACAGAGGATGTCTTCTAATTGCAACTGGCGTTGATGGAAACAGGCGGATTTTCCCGCTTGCATTTGCATTAGTGGAAGGGGAGAACAGCTTAAGTTGGGCATGGTTCTTTGACCAACTACACGAACACGTGACACAACGGGAAGATATTACGATTATATCCGATCGACATGCGGGGATTAGGAATGCTGTTGGTGGTTTTCCCGACGAGTGGGGATGGAGATGGAGATGGTGTATTCGACACTGGCTCGCCAATTTCCAGCACAAATTTGGGAAGAAGAAAGACATCAAAAATCAACTTTGGAATGCAGGTAGTAATGTTTTTCTTATGCGATTTAAGTTTGTGTTTATTAAGCTGATGTTATTCATCATGTATTGACCAGTTTCGATTTTGTTCACCTTTCAGCGGTTGCACATCAACCAAAAAAGTATGAGCAGAAGATGAAAACAATTCGTCAGACCCACCGAGCTGGAGCAGTATGGGCTGAAGGTCAAGAGTTGCCCATGTGGACGTTCCATATGGACAACGGGGCCAGATGGGGCATTGCAACTACCAACCATGGAGAAAGTATAAATAATGTGTACAAGGGTCTTCGAGCGATGCCTGTTTCTGTCATCGTGGAGATGTCTTACTGGAAGGTCAACGAGTGGCGAGTTGCTCGGCTACAGCAAGCTATAGGGAGGGAGTTGCAAGGTCATTCAATAGCACATGGTAAGTCATCCTAAGGAAAGCACTTATCTTATCAAATTAACTAAACCTTAAAATAAATAGAATTTTGAATGAGGGAGATTAGGATGACTTACCAACGACCCCATCACAGCACCTTGCTTTGACACCCATCTCATGGTGAACTTCCGATACCACTGCATGTACCCATCGTGGTAGCCCATCGGTCTCGTCTCCGGCATCCCTTGCACCACCCATTGGGACCGATTCTCCCAGATGTTGATGTATAATCCATGCTTTAGCACCCAGTTCTTTGCAGTGTGTCGGAGGTCAATAGCATGTAGCTCCCTGAAACCGGCTGGCGGGTCTTGTGGAATTGGTTGCTCCATTCGATATTGCCTCAAAGATCGATCGGGTAGGTGCCATTCCACCATGTGCCAGCAGATCAATGGCACTTTGCACAACCACGTCTCGTGATCCAGAGGGTGCCTAAGATGATGCAGCTCACCCACTTCACGTGGATATGGATCCCATATAACCTATATTCATTAAAAAATTCGAAATTAATGACCATTTACATTGACAAAATTTAACTTGTTCAAATATGGACAAAATATGATTACCTGATTCCACCATGGTTTATCTAACTCAGAACGATAACAATAACGAATGCTCAGGTTGATGGTCATTCGTATTTGCTCCTATCCACCTTGTAAGTAAAAGTACGGATTCAATTTAGTTGAAATATAGCTAAGCATATAATAAATTAAATTGGTCTAAGTACGTAATAAATAAAATTAAAATCTAGCTAAGCATGCAATCAAAATTAAATTGGGCTAAGTACGGAATAAATTCAATTTAAATCTAGCTAAGCATGCAATCAAAATTAAATTGGGCTAAGTACGGAATAAATTCAATTTAAATCTAGCTAAGTACACAATCAAAATTAAATTGGGCTAAGTACGAAATAAACTTACTTGACACCGTAGGGGAGATTTTGCAGAAAGTTGAGTTCATCATCGTTTCTCCGGTATGGACGTGGGTCGGGAGGTGCGAACATCGGGAGATGCTCCCATACCCGCAGTTGCAGGATGAACATCGCAGCACCATCTTGCTTTGCCCCAACCTTCGAGCAAGTACACAGCTCCCGGAATACGCCCGCTAGCACGGCCGATCCCCAACTCTTCTCTCCAATTGCATCCCAGTCACCAGTGAGCAATGGCAACCATATGCCTTGAATCCACCGGTTGGACTTGTCGGGGAACAAAAATCCACCCACCAAACCGATGAGGTAGATGCGGGCGTAGCGCTCGACTTGTTCTTCCGGTGTCTCGTCATTGATTTCCACCTCTTGCTGGATGTGAGATACCAGCCACGGGACCGACACTTGCCCCGCATTCAACGGTGGATGCCCCCGTCCTTGAATTGGTGTGGTGGTCGGCATGTCGAAGCCCAAACGATCACGTATGAGCGGCCCCCAACCTCCTTCGAGTTTGGTCGTGGAACCAATGATTGCATCTCCAGAAATAGGAAGCCCGGTGAGGATCGCCACGTCTTTGAGGGTGATCGTCATTTCCCCCTCCGGAAGGTGGAATGTATGGGTTTCGGGACGCCATCGTTCCGCCATTGCCGTAAGCAGATCGTTGTCGATCTCGATCCGCAAGAAATGGCGCAACATTCCCAAACCGGTCCTCGCTATGTAGGGCTCCAACCTTGGATGCCAAGCGGGCAAGTTATTGGTCCCTTTATGAACCACAGGAACAAGCGATTCCTAAAACAAATAGGGAAAATAACAATTTATTAGATTAAATAAAGCAAAATAAAACCTTAGAAAATAATAAAATAAAGCAAGAATACTCAAAAAATTACCGGATAGTTATCCCAAATAGCACGGGAGCGATGAGCTTCTTGATCGGTTAAGAGACTCGCATCCCTTGGGCCATAATGGATATACAATCGAGGATCGTATATCTCGGCACCCATCTATAAAAAAGTAATGAAATCAGAGATTGTTTTGATAAAAAAACAAAAAATCAAATTGTTTCGATTAAAAAAATTCATAAACCAAAAACCTACACGAAGAGCCTCTTCGTCCATTTTTTGGCGTAGGCCGGACAGAGGTTCGACGATTTTAGGTTTGTAAGGGACGGGGGCTTTAGGGTCAAACTCTAGTAATTCTTTCTGATGTGGAAGATCGGACTTAGCCGCAACCACAGAGCATACATAGAACGAGACTAGAGCGGATAAATTGAGGGAGAAAGAAGTGAAATGTTTGTGGGGTGAGTTGAAAGTGAAAGGGGAAGGGGGTATTTATAGTTGGGGGAAGGGGGGAGGCGCCTGCGCAGCATTCAATTGGAGCGCCTTCACCGCGTTAGTCAAACGCGGTGAACTCACCGCTGTCAACAAACGCGGTGTATGTCGAGGGGACGTGGCGTGTTGTGAGGCGTCGGATCGTGGGAAGAAAACCACGATCCGCGTCTCACCGCATCCAACGGCCACGGTGAAAGCAAATTGGCCCGGATCGCTGACGTAAACAAACACGGGGTATTCACCGTGTTTGTCTAACGCGGTAAATACCCCGCGTTTGTCCACGTCAGCTCCTTCACCGCGTTTAATAAAAACGGTGAAGTCTTCACCGTTTCAGTTTAAAACGGTGAAGCCTTCACCGTTTTTATTAAACGCGGTGAAGGCATCACCGTTTTTATTTAAAACGGTGAAATGTTCACCGTTTTTATCAAACGCGGTGATTACATTCACTGCGTTTGTCAAAAACGGTGAATGCCAAACATGTGTACTTTGGGAAATTTTTTTATAACTTATGTATTTTGGGAATTTTTTTTAAGAACGTGTGTACAGTGGGATTTTTTCCAGTAGATCAATCCGATTCTCAAAATTGTACTAGAGAAGATAATATTTAGAAATTTGACTTCCATAAGACAATACCTAACTTCTTGAACAGAATAAATAACAAAATCAAGATTTTCTAACAAACTGCAAACCAAACATAGATGATTTATCTAGGAACATATTATAAACTTGATTATTAGTTGATTTACTTCTGGGAGACATGACCGTCGGCGAACAGTGTAATGGAGTCGCCTTCCCCAACAATCCCACCCAAAAGTGCATCAGCCAATGGATCTTCAACGAGCCTGACAATCGCTCTCTTCAATGGCCTCGCTCCATAGCTCACACTATAGCCTTCCTTTATCACCTTGCTCTTCAATCCATTCTCCACATCGATTTCAATCCCCTTCGAAACCCTAATCCTCTCCGTCACGTCCCCAATCATAATCTCAACGACCTTCTCCACCTCCTCGCCCTTCAACGCCCTGAAAACTACAATCTCGTCGATCCGGTTCAGGAACTCCGGCCGGAATCTTGCTTTCAGCTCCTCCGCAACTTTCAAATTCACTTCATCGTCTTCAACCCCTTGCCTCGATATCACAATGCCCTGTCCGATGTTCGACGTCATGATGATGATCGCGTTTCTGAAATCAGCCTTCCGTCCAGTCCCTTCCGTCAGAGACCCGTAATCGAGGATTTGGAGAAGGGCGTTGAAGACGCTGGGATGGGCCTTTTCAATTTCGTCGAACAGAACGACGGAGCTAGGTTTCCGGCGGATCGATTCCGTCAATTGACCACCGGTTTCGTGGCCGATATAGCCAGGCGGAGCTCCAAAGAGCCGTGAGACGTTGTGCTTCTCCATATACTCGCTCATGTCGATTCTAATCACCGATTCCTTCGACCCGTAGAACTCCACTGCCAACGCGTTGGCCAGCTCTGTTTTCCCGACGCCGGTTGGGCCGGTGAAGAGAAAGCTAGCCACGGGTCGGGTTGGATCCCTGACTCCAGATCTGGCGCGTCGGACTGCTTTGCTCACCGCCTTCACAGCTTCTTCCTGCCCAATTATATGCCGCCGAAGCTTCTCCTCCATGTTCAGAAGCCGAAGGGACTCGTCGGCGGTCACAGACTCCAGGGGAATTTTAGTCACCATGGAAATTACCCGACAAATGTCGGCCACAGTAACAACGTCACTTCCATTGAGATGGCTTCTCGCTCCGGCTTCGTCGATCAGGTCGATCGCCTTGTCGGGAAGAAACCTCTCCCTCATGAACTGATTGGACAGCATGACGGCGGCTGCCAGAGCCTTCTCTTCGTAGCGGACGCCATGAAACGACTCGTATTTGGAGCGCAGCCCTTGCAGAATCTCGGTAGCTTCAGCAACAGACGGCTCGGGGACGTCTACGCTCTGGAACCGCCGCTTCAGAGCACCGTCCTTTTCGATGTAGTTTCTGTACTCCTCCACCGTCGTAGCACCAATGCACTGCCAGAAATTCAATCGTTAAGAGTTGTGTTTTAAGAAACATAGAGACTATTAATCAAGTATTACATTACGAAGAGTAAATAGAAGAGAACTTTAATTTCTCCTCTGGCCAGAGCTGGCTTCAGAATGTTGGCAGCATCCAAGGGGCCAGAGCCACCTGCTCCGACCAAGGTATGCAATTCGTCGATGAACAGAATGATGGCTCCTTGGCTTGTTTTCACTTCGTCAATCACTTTGATAAGCCTCTCCTCGAATTCTCCCCGGTTCGCAGCTCCAGCGATCAGGCGTCCCATGTCTAATGAATATATCTGATGATTTGTGGGAATGGTTTAATGATTCGTCAGAATGTTGGTTGTTTAAGTATGAAGAAGGGGAAAACATGATCTCATAATATGTAACCTTCTTCCCAAGAAGCTTTGGAGGGACGTCGAGAGCAACGATTTTCGCAGCGAGACCCTCGATGATAACCGTCTTGCCAACCCCAGGATCTCCAACGAGACATGGGTTGCATTTTTTGCGCTTACAGAGGATCTGGGTCACCCTTTCGATTTCCTGCTTGCGTCCAGTCACAGGATCAAGCTTGCCCTGCAATCAAACAGATGAACAGAAAAATGATGAGAAACAATGGTTAACTAGCTAGAAGGGATTCAGTCAGGTTTGGAAGGATTCTTAAAATGTTCTTGCCTCCTGAGCAGACTTGGTTACATCGTTGCCGTACTTGTCCAGAAATTCAGTCGGTAGATTAGCACCTTGTTGCTTCTTCTCCAAATGTTCCATTTTTGCTTTGTAGATTAGGGGGTGGCTTACTGTCTTACTAGTTTGCTGTTGCGAATGAAAGAGTTGAAAGCCGTATGATTAATCCATCTATTTATACATGGTAAAGTAGTGGGTAGAAGAGAGGTCGCAAATGATAGTGTGATTGATTGGAGTTCCCCAAAGGCATGACAACAATTAAACAGCAAGAACTAAGAAGTCAGTCAATAAGGTGCCTGCAGCTTTCCCTAAGCATAATAGTAGCACCACAGTTAACGAAGGAGCATTGGTTCATGATCGCGTCTTTCATTCAAGAGATTAAATTGCAATTTGCAACTGGCATGCGAACCTGGGGAAAGACCTATAGGATTAGGAATATGGAAACTTTAATTCAAGTTTGGTTACAATCAATCCACTTTGCATTGCATGGTCAGTGCGCTGGGAATTTCAAGAAATTATTTCCTCTTCCCATTGTTGTATTCGTATAGATTCCCGCGTGGCTTATGATTATCAATTTTTTTTTATAGTTTGATTAATTAAATTGACACATTAATACATTAGAGTGTTTCTTTCTTAAGCAAGGTTGTCAACCGCGGGTCCACCCGCGGGTCAACCCAGTTTAACCCGGACCCGCCCACAAAAACGGGTTACAACAATCCATTGGAGCTTCCGCCCGGATTTGGTCAAACCCGGTGGAAACCGGCAAACCCACCGGTTGGCCCGACGGAGCGGGTCTATGGGCTTGCTCCTTGTGCGACACCGATACCAACAAGATGATCTTCCCACCTATCCTACTTCCCACCAACCGGAGGTCCAGTTCGCCGGCAAACCTCATGCGTCCATGTCTGCTTCACTAGGCTGCGACCCCTAAGAAATCGAAGGTTAGAGAGAAAGAAAGAGATCTTGAAATCCTAATGGTGAATGAAGAGATCCGGATGGCGGCATAAGTGATCAGCGGTGAGAGAGATTGATTGGTAGGTTGAAGAATAAATGGAATTCGGATTGAATAAGAGAGTCTTTTTCAGTAGAAGATTGAATAAGAGAGGTGAGTTGTTGTAGGGATGGCGGGGATTTTTTTGTTGTTGTTCTAATCTCCATTTTGGTTCCAGAAAATGAAAAGAGAGAATAGAAGAAGAAGCTGGCGGCAGGGGCGCAGGGCAGAGAGAGTTGGGGGTAGGTAGGGTTTGTCATTTGTGTTAGATTGGGTGGAATTTTACAAAATGCTCCATTAAATTAAAATGTATTTGTAGTTCCTCAAGTTTCAAAACACTATATTATAATCCTATACCTTAAATTAAACTATATTTCCCCTCCCCTTTTGTTGTTTAATTAATAAATCATTTTATTTTGCTGGTATATATAAGTCAATTAATTATTCACAATTCTACATTAGAATACTATTATTTTGGAGTAATGTTATTATTCATCAGAAATTGGTTATATAATAAATTTATGTATGAAAAATAATAACTTTTCTCATATATCCGGGTTAATCCGGGCTAAACCGGACTAAAACGGGTGACCCATTAACCCTTAACCCACTAGCTCATCCGGGTCCGGGTCGACCCACGGGTTGACAACCTTGTTCTTAAGCCTTTGTTAGACATTCATATCTACGTATAGTTTCAGAATGTTAGATGTATAATTTTGAACTGTTTTATATATGTCTAAAATACAGAAACTTGAGAGTTGAGAGTACTATTGTTTCATGCCTAAACTATTGTTCGTTGCTTTTACTTTAAAAATAATGTGGTTCATATTGGGTTTGGACTTTTGTAATCGTGTTTTAAATTTGTTTAAGAGTCAAAAACTCTATTTTGAATTTACGATTCAGTATGTTAATATTAGGGGTGGACATACGAGTGGTTAATCCGTGTTTTGACATCGATACACTCGTAAATAACATGAATTGCATTGGATGAGTGATCATTAATGTGGATGAATTGTGAATTAATGAACTCACTATCTCAACCTACTCGCGCGAGTTTATGATCTCATATGTGATTCTAAATGGTTGAACAGTGAACACTAACAAGCACTCAAAAATAATTTATAAATTCAAGACTCCAATTATTTTATACCAGATACATGTGTTTAATATCATGATGGAAAAAAGGATTGATAGTAAATTTTTCATGATTAATTGATCACACTCTTATAAACTCTGTTGGTATCGTATTTAGTTTGTAAATTCTAACTAGTTCATCTCATGTTATTTAATAGTATAAAATAATATATAAGCAGTCTATAATAAATAAATAAATAAATTTCATTATAAATTATAAATGAGACATATTTAGTCACATACTCAAAGTCCTAAACCATCTTATTTTTTTAAATATATAATCTAATAAAGCTATGAACCATTAAACCAACTTTGGTAACTTGTGACTGTTCTAACTTCTAAGGTCAATGGTGGCGAAGAACATGGAAGAGGGTTAGAGGGTAGGGTCGACCAGAACTAGAGAAGAATTGCAAAAATTATGTGTTGTGGCCTTGTGGGGGCTCTGTAGTCAGCGAAGAAGATGAAATGCAAGACTTATGGAGAAAAGAATGGAGCGACAAGGAGAGGCCCATGAATTCCTCGTTGTGTGTTATGAGTGTTCGAGTTCAACCTAAAATTTTGATTCCAAATAGAGGAAGGAAGCGACGGTGAAGGACAAGTCGAATAGAGGCAGCTCGAGATGCCCCATTTTGGATAGATTAGCTGCATATTTTTATTTTGGTCAATGAATCGCTCAATCGTTCCTAATTTCGATTAATCATTCTCCAAGTCGATTAATTGTGCCTAACTTTGCTTAACCACCATTTAGGCATTATGAACGTCTAATTGTCCGCACAGGGTTCAGACGAAGCGTCTTGTCTGCCTGGTGCTTAGGCATATGTGGAATTACACTTTCATGAACCCTGCCAACTTATAAGCAATAGAACGAGTTATTAAGAAGTTGCTAGTCGAGTTAGCTCGCTAGCCACACATTACTGTGCCAATTCACGAGCTCAAAACAAGACAGATCGCTATAATGAGCCACTAAATCAAACTAGTTGGCGAGCCTCACAACAACTTTGACTCGTTAGTAAACGAGCTGAATTTCCAACTTGAGTTACAACCATAGTTATTTGTGGGAGTGGAACGTAAACAACTTAAGTCGTCTTGGGAATGGAATTGCGAAGAATCACCTGATGCAAAATGTAACATGTGGAAACAACAAGCATTAACAACTTCTCATTATCACATAACCAGCCATATGTGTGTAAATATGTCTTGGAAGGTTTGAAAGAGTAGCTAGGCAAAACTCAAGACTGGCCATTCAGCAAACCCCCTTTGGATGGAGCCAAAAACTGCCTTGCAGTCTTTTTTATTGAGAAAGATTATTCAGCAGAACAAGTGACGAGGAAGGGCGGGGCGCCCCAATGGGAATGGTAGCTAAGTTGAGGAAGATGCATGCAGGGAGAATTACTAGCAAGCTGGCTATAGCTTAATTAGTTGGGAGTTTGGATGAGGAATGCCATGCACTGGACCTGTTGAATGTTGTCGAAGGCGAGGCAGCGGATGTAAGCATTAGGGTAAGCCTGCTTGCATTGCTCCATCTCGTTCAGCACCTGGGAGGAATCGTTGCAACCGAACATCGGCAGCTTCCACAGAGTCCAGTACCTGCCGTCGTAGTATCCGGGCATCCTGCTGTTCTCCCTGTACACATATCCCACCTGCATTCATACCAACGACGATATTATCTATCGATACTTTCTTCCAGTTTCTCAATTACTAATGTAGCACAGGAGATCGATTGCAGTTCTACGATAAAGCTATGTAATGAGGATAAAGTCAGGATTGTCAACAAGGGGCGGTGGCGCAGTTGGTTAGCGCGTAGGTCTCATAGCTACTGAGTGATCCTGAGGTCGAGAGTTCGAGCCTCTCTCGCCCCATAATATTTTTTTTCCTGCTTTAATGGTAATTTCTACTTCCAAATTACAGTGGCCACTAGAGTGATCCTGAGGTCGAGAGTTCGAGCCTCTCTCGCCCCATAATATTTTTTTTTCCTGCTTTAATGGTAATTTCTACTTTCAAATTACAGTGGCCACTAGAGGTGACAAATGGATTGGATCCATGGATTGATAGATTCATGGATTGGATCAAGTGAATTGGTGGATTATTCATGAATCCAAACGACATCTTCAACCTTGGACCAATATGTAAAATGTTTAGGTACTAAAATGTCGTAATGAAAAAATTTAGGTACCAAAACGTAATTTTTCAATGCTATTTTTCGTGGAAAAAAAATTTAAATTTTAGGTACCAAAATGTAAAATATGAAAATTATAGGTACCAAACCATAATTTACCATTTGGATCCATGGATGGATTGGATTACGTGGATAATTTTAATGAATTGGTGGATTGAATTGAGAATTGTCCCCTCTAGAACACAATCTATTCAAAAACTATTTAATTGCGCATAAACTTTTTGTGGTGTAGTGATTAAATAAGTTACCTCGTCAAATTCAAGGCAAGGAATCCAACCCTTCTTGATCATGTAATCAATCTCCTTAGCGACGGAGTCCTGTGAAAGCGGAGGAAGGTAGGACAGCGTCTCGAACTTCTTGTTGTCGATCGGGTTCCACGTCTTCATGCAGGAAACCCTCGAACCGTTCGACACTGCAGCAGCCTTCCTCCTCCACGCAACATCCTTCCCCGAGAAGAACAGCTGCTTCGTCGCCGCCGCCGACGAGTTCGATTTCAGGCCGCGGTATCCGGGGAGCGCGCCAACGGACATCCCTGCCGCCGATGACATTCTTACTTTCTTTCTCTCTCTCTCTCTCTTTTCTTTCTAGCTAAGGGAGATAGTGATGGACTTTGAGGAATGTGCTGAATACTTTGAATTGATGCGATTTGCATGCGTCGTGAGAGCGTTGGAGTTTGTGAAGCGATGATGTGGTGAGCAGTTGATGTGTGAACGCCTTTACTAGGAAAGAAGACGACACTTGGTTTAAAGGCGATGACGGCAGAATTATGGTGGGGGTGACATTTCTTTTGGTTATAAGCTTCGGTTGCTCCGTCATCACAATGGAGACCGAGAGAGCATCTCTATGACCCCAAAACGAAAGCACTGTCATCGTCTTTCTATCCGTCAGGCCAGGCCAGGCCCAGTTGTCGGCCTTCTGAAGCAGGCCTGCTTTGCGGGTCAGCCCAGTTGCCATAACAGGCCAAAACTTTCGGTTCCACTTCCAGATTTCCTTCTCTTAGATTCGGGTACCCCTTCTTTTACATGGTTGCGACTTGCGAGACAGAGTTGAAACATAACAACCATCAGCAGCAGCGGAATGAACATCATCCTCCCCCTGCACCAAAGTCCCAACTTTTCCATTGCTTTCGCACTGATGTTGTCTTTCTTGAGACACTTTTTTGTGGTAAGTTGGTTTCTTGTTCAACTTTGTGCTAGGTATTTGGTATTTTGATTGACAAATTGGTTATATTATTGTTTTGGTTCTTAATGAGATAGACCAAATCTACCGTCTCGATCATCTTCCAGTAAATATAATAATTGCTTCTAGGAGACAGTTTGGTCGAAGTTGAACTAAGAAGCCATAATGACTTTGGTAAATCAGTTATCTGTTGTTTTAGCTTATAGGAACCGCAATCAAAATGTGATTTTAGTTATGCGGTAAACATACAAGGTCTATCGGCCTCTTCTTTTGTCTTGAAATGGGTTGTTTATTTTCTATTTTACGATATTGACCATTACGCAACTTATCAATTTTTATGTATAACTTTTTGTATGTTATGGATATAGAGATTGACGTTTTTTTATTAGAAGAGAATAATTTAAGAATTAAAAGGTATCGATCAAGGTTTTTTTTTAATGTTTTAGTATTTAGAATAATAAACGCGTTAATAACTTCAAATATTGTGAAATTATAATGGTAATGTCTAGTTTTTACGCAAATTTTTTTTCAGATTTTTTTATTTTATCCAAACGTATTAAAATGTTATTAATAAGCCAAATCTTTCGTAATGCATCAAAATATTAGCTATTTTTACGTTATCGTTAATAATTTTGTAACTAACCTATGAAGGTCAACATTCCAAAATTTTAGTATTTTAACTAAGAAAAGAGTTACAAAATTATTAACGATAACGTAAAAATTGCTAATATTTTGCTACATTACGAAAGATTTGGATAATTAATAGCATTTTAATAGGTTTGGATAATATAAAAGATATGAAAAAGATTTGGATAAAAAATAGACATTACAAAAAAATATATATAGCTGAATGGAGTTATGGAATTGGAGAGGCAATGGGCCCGGACTAGGACTGAAAGTTTGGTACCGGTATTTGAGATATACCGAATACCGTACCGAATTTATCACTATTTGGTATTACCGAATACCGGTTTATTTTTTAGGGATTGGGATTGTGATTCATTTTAGAGTGCTATTTGGTGTTCGGGATTACCGGATTGGGATCGGTATATAGCGAAATACCGAGAAATACCAAAAATTAAAAATTAATAAAATATAACACACAACTTTTAGTCATTCCTCACTCTTTCACAACTTAGAAGCCCCCATCCAACTCAATTTTTACTTTCCACTTTAAGTCACTCTCGTTTCTCACCTAATCTCTTGTTATTTTCATAGCACCAAAAAGCAAACACTAGTATTAGTTTTCTCTCAACCTCCAATTCGTCAAATTAAGGATTACCAATGACAAGAATTTGAGATGTCACCTCTCCTCCATTCTCTATATCCATATCCTAGCTCTAGGCAAACTCAAGACTCTTTGCTTACTCTCTTTGCTCTAAATTTTACAATCAAATCTAATTATATATTTAATTATTACTTGCAAAGATAATTAATTTTGTATTCGATAATACCGATTGGGATACCAAAGTACTGATTGGTATACCGAAATATTTAAGGATTGTGATACCGAAATTATTTAGCGATTGGGATTGACTTTAGGATGTAATTCGGTATTCGGGATTTCGATATTTGGTATTGAGATACCGATACCGTACCGATTTCCATCCTTAGCCCGGATCAGACCGAAATTTCATGGGCAGGAGGGGCCAGTGAATTGGATTGGGCACAAATCTTTTTTTTTTTGGCTTATTGTGTCCATACATTCTAATTAAGGTTGTCAATCCGCGGGCTGATCCAAACCTAGTCGAGCTAGTGGGTCAATTATTAATGGGTCAACCGTTTTAGCTCAGTTTAGCTCGAAAATATGAAAAGAGTCATTATATTGTACTTATCCTGATAAATTAAATCTAATCACATATAACATATGTTGTACTTAGATCCAACATATAGTGAAAATTCACACACTTATATAACATATATATTCAAATGTTCAACTTAACATTCCAAAGATGGATTTAGGCGAAAAGAAATATTAGAAAATAGGCGCATTTCGCTAACCAAAGAAAAAAATAACACAATATTAGAAAATAGGCACATAGCGATCGACCTGGTAAGTGCGTACGACCCGTTTTTCTTATCGGGCCAGAGTCAAAATGAGTTGACCCGCAGCTTGATAAGCTCGATTTTAAGTATTTTGCTGTGAAATTTGAATGAGTGTTAGTCGAAGGGATTTTGATTGGAAATTTGGATTAGGATCATATTTTTAATTTTGGAGAGTACCTCCTATCATGAGTCGCCCTAAAAGGAGCAATGGAATATTATTAACGAAAGCAAGCCATTTTATTACTTTATTAAAATACACACTCCGAGAAGCATGATCCACTCTGATACAACACAAACACTAGCTAGTAGCTACATACATCACCAGGAAAAAGAGACGCACACTTAAATCATAATAATGTAAATCAGCTGCAAACACCAAACCTTGCACCCATTATTGATTGACATCTAGGCCACAAGCTCAAGGACGGAGATGATTAACCAGAGATCTCGATGGCCTTGACGTCAGGCTTCTTGACCTCGGTCTTGGGCACAGTCACCGTCAGCACGCCGTTCTCCATCCCGGCCTTGATCTCATCCATCTTGGCGTTCTCCGGCAGCCTGAACCTCCTCACGAATTTCCCGCTGCTCCTCTCCACGCGGTGCCACGTGTCGTCCTTGTCCTCCTTCTCCACGCGCCTCTCCCCGCTGATCTGCAGCACCCTGTCGTCCTCCACTTCAACCTTCACCTCCTCCTTCTTCAGCCCCGGCAGGTCCGCCTTGAACACGTGCGCCTCCGGCGTCTCCTTCCAGTCGATCCTCGTGTTCACGAAGGCCGTATTCTCCCCGCCGCCGGGGATGAGCGCCGACGACGAGGGGAAGTTGATGGAGAAGTCCCTGAAGGGATCGAAAGCGTCCAAGGCCGAGAATGGATCCCACGCGCCGCTGCTGCTGCCGCCGCGGCGGTTCCCGAAGAAGCTTGGAATCAGCGACATTTTGATTTTCGTAAGATTGGGGAAGTAATCGAGTAAGAAGACTTGATTTTGCTAGATTGAATTGCTCGAACTGATTGCTCTATCAAAGTGTTGAATTCGATTGTGGGTAATCGGAAGGGGGCTCCTGCTATTTATATGAACGCAGAGGGAGAGGCGTCGTGCTCCAGAGACTTCTGGTGTCTTCTTTCCTTTTCTTTTTCCAGGGAGAAAGTGAAGATCCATCAATGGAGAAAGTTCTTGTCGGTTCTAATCGGGCTGTTTGATCCGGAGTTTTCTAGTGGATGCTAGAATAGCTTTGGGCTTTCCAAAGATATTATGTTATGGGCTCAAGAATGATTCGTTTGTGGGCTAAGATTGGATCTTGAAATTTTATGGCGTTTTGCGTTAAGCCCATAGAGCCCACCAATGAGACTCGGTTTTCTTCTTCGATGTTCCATTCTCCTTGTCGGCTAAGGATTTTCATGCCCACCCCTTAAGGGCTAAGGCTGCCCCCCCTGAAAGACCGTTTATTCCTAAATCCATTGAGCTTGGGACTGCCCTTTACATCATTCTCGTAGGGAAACAACTCAGGTGGCAAATACAATTTACGCAAGCCAGATTCAACTGAGCAAACAACTACGCACTGTCATTTCATATGTTTACCGTTTACAACGATGTTTCTATTTATCAAAATCGAAAAAATATTGTATGCTAAACTTTGAATGTCGAGTCTTCTATATTGTTCAGGTTTAGATGTAGTGTCCTTGAAATTCTGCTATTACTATTAGAATTAGTATTGTTTAGCACATGAACAGCTAAAAGATCACTAAAAATAAGGGGATGAAGTGATAAACCACAAAAAGACACAAGAAAGGAGCCTGAAGAAGGAATGCACGAAATCTTTTGTTTGTGAACAAGACCTGGAATCGAGCCACGTTATGATATCATCAAAGACGGCAAAGATCCTGTCATCGGGTTCTCCTTCAAGGATGGAGTGAAACCCACGTTCATAGAGCTTCAACGTCTTGTCCTTGCTGGACGCATTCTCGTACAGAAACTGGCTCACTGTTGGATCCGTGACTTTATCAGCAGCACCATGTAGAATCAGCAATGGAGCCACCACACACACACAAAAAAAAAAAAACAACTCCAGAGCTCGGTTTTGATCTTGTGGACATCTTAGTTACTACATATATCAAAAGTTTCAGAGAGGGCAAAACCAAGGGTCCAAACCTGGTCAACCTGGGCCTCAATCTCTTCAGTAGCCCTGAGCAGCTCCACGGCTGTCTGCAATCGCATTCGATGGCTGTAACTAATCACATTGTACTCGCACTTAAACAAAAGGACCACCGGTCAGTAAAGCAGATAAATTTTGGACTTCTTTCAGTAAAAGAGGATGCGCAGAGAACAAACCATTTTTCTTTTCGCCGGGTCCCTGAAAGCAAGCTCTGCTAAATCAAATCACTCTCTGGCATAAGCTTTGCCTTGGGTAAGAATTTAGCCATGCAGGTCAATACCTTCAAAACTGGCGCAGGAGGCTTGACTTCATCTGAGATCTTGGCAAACCATGACGGTTAGCTATTAATTTAAACTTTATAACAAGGATCATGAATTCTGACTTTTTCCATCAAGAAAAATGCAGACCAAACACATCATAGCAAAAATATATGACAAGCTAAATGCTGTTCTCTACCCTGTCAGACTAAGATTCCGTCCATTATTAGAGGATGATGCGAGACTTTAGTCACTTCATACATAAGATAAAGAGCATTCACAGCTAAAACAGGATTGCCTGTGATGGCCAGTAGATTCAGAAGACCATAATAGGCTTAAGGCTTGTAGTCAGGACACAACTTTGAATGATCTGAAACTGATGCACATAACTTTCTTGATGCAAAATAAATGAAGACTTTATATAACCTTATCGATTGTGGGCAGGGTCTAAAGATTCCAAATTTATCCAACTAAAATGTGTACCTTAAAGTTCAGGGGTCTTAATTGTGCTACAATATGTCACAGGAACCGATGGTAAGTTTAGTTAGTGCTAATCTGCTGCAGTTGCTTGGAACAGAAGCAGACTGTTTAATGAAGCCTATTGTAGTTTGTAGATGAAGTAGCACAGCAAAATAGAGATAAATGAAAGAGCTTACTCTACACATGGGGGCTACAAGGATGACACCATCCCATTCACTTGGATCCTTCAGATGGAGTTTGAGAGTAACAGCTCCACCCATGGACTGCCCCAATATGAAGCTGGGCAAACCTCTCACCTCAGGTCTTCCTGCCAATAACCAACTATAATGGAGTCACTTCATTGAGAAGGAATAACCGAGAAACATTTGTTATGATCCACCACTATGCAGAAGGAGGGGAAAAGTCAGAACCTTCAATCTTGGCAAACATTTCGTAGGCATTGTCTACCAAGTCATCAAAGTTCTGAATGTAACCATGCAATCCTTCAGAGAGACCAAAACCTGGGTGGTCCACGGCATAGACAGCATACCCGGAAGAAGCGATTTGGCTTGCAATACCTGTCATTCATTGAACACCATAAGTATTGCAGCAGCTCAAATTATATCCATTTAACTTCAGCGCGAGAGACGGACCTTCAAAGAAGAATGTGCAGGTATCACCATAACCATGGCAGAAGCACATAGAACCTTTGATTCGAACGCCAGATTCTGGCATCCAGCTTTTGCAAAACACTTCCTGACCCTTATAATTTATCTCATACCACTGCCAGTTCCCACCAACAGAAGCCAAAAAATACCCAGCAATTGAATTGACACCATCCCGCTCTGTTCCAAATTAGATTCAGTTTATTTCATTCCGTACCTCTTCTGTTCGAATCCCTGGAGGAGCCAGCTGCCCATGAAATCGATTCAGTAAATAACCCACATAGAAGGAGCAAACCCAAATTGAAAAAGACACAAATCAAAAGGGACCTTGTAGAGAGGATGATCGAGCTGCTGCTGGAGATGAGTGAAAGCGGATCGAACCAGTCTCCGGGAGTGAGCGTGGTCCAAGTTTAGCGAAGCAATCGAGTTGAGGTCGACTGTCACACCCTCGTCGGGCTTCTTCTTCGTCAAGGTTGCAGACACGTTGGCCGGCTGCTGCTGCTGCTGAGAAGAAGCTCTGTTCCAAGGCCTTGACAGGAGTTTTGAGAGGGAGGCTTCGGCGTTCCTGGCGAGAGAAGCCATGGATGGACGGGTGTGCGAAAGACAGAGCTCGAGAAGGTGGGTGGTGAGGAGATGGAGAGACTGAAGAGAGCGAGCGCGAGAGAAATCGAAGATCGGAGAGAAAATGGACGGTAAAGGGCGAGGTATTGGCTGTTGACTGTTGCTATTGGCAAGGCACTGACTGAGACTGAGTGATGTGAACGCGGCCGCACCCACTGAGTGGGAAGGTTGATGGCGACACCAATTGGCTGCGCCCACCCTTCCCCATTTTCCCCATTTTCTTTGGTCTCTTACTCCGTTGTTATTTTGTTGTCTTTCTTTGTTCTTCTTATTCTTTGACGGTGAAAGACGTTTAGGGAAAGCAGCCGAAAAATTTACAGTGGATTAGAAAACTACCATCCCAATTCAAAATTTCTCTTATGGAGAGCATTTTGTGGAGTGATCTTTTCGTAATTGTACTTTTTCCTTTATAGATTAAAAATGTTATCACGAGCAATGCTGTCAAAGCCGAGCCGGAGTATGACCCGTAACGTGAACGACTCGGTCATTAGTGGTCCAGCCGGCATTAGACCGTTTAAAAACCGTTTGAGAACCCGTACCTAATAAACAATCATATATATAAATAGTAGACACTTCTTAATCATGGTAAACCACAAGTAAATTACTCTCTTAAACCATTCTAGAACATCAGTACTGAAAGATCTAAAATTCAATTCCAAACCACCACATTGTTCCAAAATAAAGATCAAATCAACAAATTTACAATGGAAAATCTAACACTACCATTCTGAAACTTCTAAATAGCTCAATCAAGTAAACAAGTAAACAAAAATTGCTAAATGGAATAGGAAACCTCACGGGTCACGGCAGCAACACAAACAAACCATTACAAACTTCTTTTATGCTTATATGAAATTATCAAATTAAGGTCAAAGCACATGTAAATTTATTAATTTAGTAATTTACCACAAGAAGTTCTCCTGGGTGGGTGTATGCGTCGAGAAATTGAAGGGGAGGGCAGCAAGGGAGAGGCGGAGAGTCGATGGCTCGATGCAACAGGAGAGAGGCAGAATATCTGTGCAACAGGGGAAAGGCAGAGAGTCAATGTAGGGGAGAGGCAGCAGGGGAGAGGGAGAGAGTCGATGCAGGGGAGAGGCAGCAGCAGTGGGAGAAGGTGATTGCAAGGGAGAACGGAGACCTCACCGGCTGGCCGTTGCGCTCGCCGACAGGAATGGGGAACGAGCTGCCGCCACCGCCGACGACGATGGCGACAGGCGACAGGGGAGTGGCGTCGAGGGATGGCGACGGCCGATGGCGTCGAGCGATGGCAAACGGCGACGACGTCGAGCGATGGCGAACGGTGACGGCGTCGAGCGATGGAGAACGGCGACGTAGACCCGCGACGGTAAACGGCGACTGCGGAGTGCGAGGCTCTTCTTCGTGTCTGGCTGCTGCACGAAGGGGGAAGAAATGAATTAGTCAATTAGGGTTACGTTTTCAGCCGCCTCCCCTTTCATTTTCATTTTTTAATTTGATATATATATATATTTTTAATTAAAGCAACCGGCCCAAATGGTAAAAGCCGGTCGAGCGGCTCGAATGGTTCGAGCGGTTAACCGCTTCGGCCGCTAGCCGACCGCCCCAAATAACCACTCCGACTAAATAGTTGAGTCGAGCCGGTTTTATGGTCGGGTGGCGGTTTTGACGGCTCGGCCGGCCGGCTCGGCTCGGCTTTGACAGCATTGATCACGAGAATTTCAACCCAGATCACTCGAGCGAATAAAGAATACTATGATCGATTAGACGATGGATTGTTTTGTCGCTCAGGTTATGTTCCAACGGGGGCAGTTTGGCCTGTCTGGCTATTGCTCTGCTTTTTCCGCTTTGGTTTTGTGGTTTAGGCAGCTTGTTTCTTCTTTTTTTTTCCTATCCCTACTTAGAGCTGCAAGTGAGTCGAGCTGCTCGGCGCTCGACTCAGAAAAAGCTCGTTCGAAACTCGGCTCGTTTATTAATGAGTCAATCCAGAACTTAGCCTTCTGCAGCTCGTGAGCTAGCTCGACTCGGTGGCTTGTTGAGCTCAACTCGTGAGCTGACTCATTTAGAGCTCATGAGATGTCTCAACTGTCAACATTGTGGCTAGAGAGCCAACTCGATAACCGATTTATGAGCGAATTGATCTATATTAGTTTTATTTTGATAATTCATAGGATTGTTAAATTATACATTCCACCCTATATGATGTTTAACACGAGATTATGTGAGCAAATACGTCTTATTTAATTTTAAAAATAAATTATATATCATAGATTGCTTCGATACTATGAAATAACATAATTTCACTAGTTAAAATTTATTAACTAAATAGTTTGATACCACAAAGTATAAAATTAGATTAGTTAATATTATATACTTAACTTTTATTATTATTATTTTAATCTTCACATGAATCACATGGATCATGTATTACATACAAAATGAATATATCAAATACCAAGATTTTATTAACCAAGCTAGCTCGAACTTGACTCGACTCGGCTCGTTAATAAATGAGCCGAGTTCGAGCTCAATTCGTTTATTAACAAACCAAGTTCAAACTGGAGCAAAATTCGACTGGACTTGACTCAGCTCATTTGGAGCACTCCCTATCATTTCTCTTTCAGCAGAGACTCTATTGGTCCATCTAGCTTCCCTTTTTTGCTTCTCCTGTTTTCTGTTTTCAGTATTGGTGTTTATGACTTTTCAGTTGGTTTAGTTTTTGTGAACTTCAACCTTTGTTGTTGACTCTTTCTTGTATTTCCTTTCTTTTGCTTTTTCAGTTTTAATAAAAATTCTTCATTTATAATCAATCTGCCGCTTCTCCTTACTCGAAAGTAAAAAAAAAAAGTAGTCGAAACACATAATATATTCACATTCTAACAACTATCAAGCTATATCTTCTTTGTAATTTACAACCCCATAAAACATTTTAGGGTTCTTATCTCCACGTCTAAGCTAAGTTTCTCAAAACTTGTACCTCTAAGATATTTTCTCCATCTACATTTTTTAACTTTATATTTGAAGGTCATGGCCTAGTGATGAAATCTTAATCACTTGAGGCCGAGAGTATTGAAAAAATTGCATTATGAAAGAATGATACCCCAATGTCTCTTGTCACTTACTCGACATAGTTTATGTACAAACTTATTGAACCAAATAATATTCTATTGTTCGTGTATTTATAAATTGATGTTATTTATTCCAATTGCATGCTATTAAAATGTATATGGAAAAAATCATGTGATGATTTAGTGCATTGGGTATTTTTGCTTGTTGCATTTGAAAGAAGAAGGTATTGGATAAATCATTGGATTTGAAATATGAAGTGTTTGTGATGGATTTGTGTCATTCTTGTTTTGATTTTTTTATTTTATTTGCGTGCTGTATTTAATGGTTGATTTTGTTGAAAGAAATAAATGTAGAACAATCAGCAGACATTAAGGAACTGTTTTCATGGCATAATAATCTTTTTAATCTCATTATATGCGAGTCATGCCTGCAAGTATTTTAAATAATAACCAAATTTTTTTATACAATCAAGATCGTACGGACAGTTGAATTAGCTTATTTAGAAAGGACGTTATTGGTCTATTCCGACCCATGAGAATAGGCCATTTGACAAGTAAAATTCTGAAATTACCAAGGCACGAACCCGACGGAATCGTGCGTTGAATCACAACAAAGCTCATCCAAAACTCGATTTAGTCTGTATTGGATTGTAGCTCAGCATGAGTATAAGTAGAGGATACTCTCAGAGTCTAACCTCATCCAGAATACAGCTGAATTTGACTACTCAGTGTTTTTTGCAGTAAGAGTTCTATCACCAGCAATTGAATGTTAAAACAGGACCAGGAAGGATTGTTCTTTGTCAAACCTTGAAAGCAAGTAAGGAACTTTTTTCCCCCTGGAATTATTATTATTCTATTCAGAGAGTGGAAACTGGAAGTGGGATTTTATAATCCACGCGAGGTATAAGAGAAATTCCAGTTGGTTGCTGTTTTTCTCCAGCAGTCTCTTCTTCTCTTCTCTCCCCTGCTGCTGCTCTGGGTTTCGTGTGTGTCTCTTCTGTGTATTATATAAATGGGGTTTGTTAATGGCTATGGGAGTATATTTATAAATGGGGCTAGCGTTGTTGGCGTTGGGAATCCCCATTCCCATTCCCTTCTCATCAAACATTCATTCCCACATTGCACGCCTGTTTGTTTCTTCGTTTCTCTCATCCATCATCATCCTCCATATAACTCGTAATTTTTTTGAAATTGCAGAGCAAAACCCAGAAATTTTACAGTCACCCAGAAGCCAATCAGAGCTCGGAGGTCATTCACCGGCGAAAGGAAAGGAAAGGAAAACGACAAGAAAGGGCTGCACAGAAGAACTCTGTAAATTCTCTCTGTATCGTCATCAAACAAATATCAGAAACCCAAACAGCTGCTCTGCTGCTGCTGCTGCTGCTCGCTCACACAAAACGCCAACGCCACCTCTCTCTGTCTCTTCCCGTTGTTCAATTCCTTCACAGACATTCTCTCTTAACCCTCCATTGCCAGAAAAAAAAAGCCCCTCTTATATGTCTGTCGCATTCCCATGAAACTTCATTTACTCGAGACCCATTGCTCCCTGCTCCCTTCTTACTCCCAGGACTCCCTCTCTTTCCTCCTCAATCCCCCTTACGCCCGGTGCCGCCGCTCTCCGCCGTCTTTCCGCGGCGTCCGGATGGACTCTTCTTCCGATACTTCTTCTTCTCCTCCTCCTCCAGCTCTGTCGTTTTCCCGGCGGCAGAAGGAGAAGGTTTTGGTGATCATGGGGGCAACGGGCTGCGGGAAATCGAAGCTCTCCGTCGACCTCTCAATCGCCTGCGGGTACGAGGCGGAAATCATCAATTCCGACAAAATGCAGCTCTACAGGGGGCTCGACATCAGCACCAACAAAATCTCGATTCCGGAGCGGCGTGGGGTCCGGCACCACCTCCTCGGCGATTTGGACCCGGCCGACGGGGAATTGACCCCCGCCGATTTCCGCGACCTCGCCGGGGCCGCGGTCGCCGACATTGCATCCAGGGGGAAGCTCCCCGTCGTGGTGGGTGGGTCCAACTCATTCATCTATTCTCTCCTCGTTGACCGGTTTCACCCCGGGTCGGATGTTTTCTACGGGTCGGGTCCGGAGGACCGGGTCTCCCCGCAGCTGAGGTACGACTGCTGCTTCCTCTGGATCGACGTCGCGTTCCCCGTTCTCTGCGACTACCTCTGCCGGCGGGTGGACGAGATGGTGGAGACCGGGATGATGGAGGAGATGGCGGATTTCTACTCGTCGGAATCGTGGCCGGGTCGGACCGGGCTGCTGAAATCGATCGGGGTGCCCGAATTGGAATGGTACTACAAAATGGGGAAATTCGAAACTGACAATAAGAAGATGATTGTTAACGAAGGGGATGATGAAGGAGGGTGGGATACAGTACGGAGGAGCGTATACGAGGATGCGGTGAGGAAGATCAAGGAGAACACGTGTCGGCTGGCGGAGAGGCAGGTGGGGAAGATCATGCGGCTGAAAAGCGGCGGGTGGGACCTACACAGGGTGGACTCGACGGACGTGTTTAGAGAGCGGTTGAGAGCGGAGGATGAGGCGGAGGAGGAGGAGGAGGAGCTGGTGATGATGACGGCGGCGGCGGAAAGCGGCGGTGGTCAGCAGCGGAGGAAGAGTAAGATTAAGAGACGGAGGCAGTGGGTGGAGGTGTGGGAGAAGGAGGTGATGGATCCAAGCGTGAAGATTGTGAAGCAGTTCTTGCAGGAGGAGTAGGTTCTGCATCCAGCTTTTTTCCAGCTTTTCTCCAAATAATTTCTTCTTTTCTTTTCTTTTTATTTTCCCCCTTTTCCATTTCTCTCTCTCTCCCTCCATACATTTTTTTTTTATTCTCCCCCCTCTTTTTTTCCATTTTCATTTTTGGTTTCAGAAACAGTTTTGAAATACAGTCTAGAGAGAAAAGATAGATAAGAGAGAAATTTTGATGGGAGCAGATAGTCATAGTCAGATTAATTTTAGCACCATAAAGCAGTTTTGGTAGTGCTAGAAGGCTTTGTTAGAATAATGAAGGGAAGGAATGTGGATTCTCTAACGCAAGAGAATGGTGCATTTTCTTTCCTGAATTCATAGCTACTAGACTGCAATCTTTCAATTTGAGAGAGCTTGTAATAATTCTTCCTATATATCATTGATATGTTTAATAATAAATTCATTATTATTATTTTTTTTATCAATCTATCATGTCGATTTGTTGTTGTTGGATGTCCAAATTTCTCATTTCAAAATTAGTTGCAATAACTATCATTTTACAATAAGAGAGATAAAAGCGAGTATTGGATCCCGCGCATGGCTGATCTTACAATTTCGTAACCATTAATTTGATCAAGAACCAAAAAGTAATTCAAAGAAAAAATTTAAATCAAATAACCTCATCGCTTATATGAAAAAATAGTGTAGAATTATAAACCATTATCATTGGCTTAATTGCAAGTTTGGTCACTCAAATTGCTACAAAATTTCACGTTTGCCACTCAAATTAATTTATTCCATTTATAGTCACTTAAATTAGGTTAACAGTCCAAGTTTGGTCACTGGTCGTTAGTCTCCGTTAACTTTTGCTGATGTGGCGGTCAACTCTTATAGTTGACCGTTAAATGAGTGACGTGGCGATTAAAAAATAATAAAATAATTTAATTTAATTATTTTTTATTTTCCACCTAATTATTATAAAAATAAAAAAAACCTAATTCCTTTTAATTGTTATTTTCCACCGCTGATGAGCTGCGTCGTCTTCATAGCCTTGTAAGAGAAACCGCCATTAATGCAGGCGGTTAACAGAATTAATTGAGATTTGGTGAAATCCTCATTCTCCATAGCTCTGTTCGATCTCAGACACTATTGTAAAAAGGTCGGGAATGGGATGAGTTCCCGGTCCGGAATGCAGTTCAAATTTCACAAAGAAACAGTCCAAACATTCTCTAAAGACCAAGATTCGCTTCACAATGCGTCAGTTCAATACCTGGTTGTGGAACCTTGAGAAAATAAAACTGTACTTACTGGACGGAAAACAAAACTGAAGAGCAGAAGCAAACTGAACTAGCTGGGAATTTCGAAAACTAGGACGAGAAAACAGAGTAGAACAGAGCAACAGAGCTCGCTCAATTAAGTCGTAAGAAAAGGGGGGGAAACTACAAACACGAGTGTAGAGTGCGAATTGGGGGAATGTAGGAGACGATTAGCTAGTAGAGAGAGCAGAATTCAACGGAGATTGAAAATGCATATCGGCGTACCGAGTCAGAGCAAGACCGGAGATCCCGCCATTCCGGGCAGTGGCCGTAACTCCGACGACCATCACCACGACCAGCACCGTGCACAGGGCGAACCATCTCAACGCCTCCGCCATTGTTCTCTCTCTCTCTCTCGCTCTCGATCTCTCTGTGTGGAAATCCCGGCGACAATTGCAGAGAAGGAGGAGACAGCAGACAGAGGTGGGAAAAGGAGAAAGCAGAGTGTGGAGTCAACGAATTGAATCTCCCGACCCAGCTGAATCGCCCGACCCCGACCCCAATTGAATCTCCTGATCGGCAGCCAACGAATCGGCGATCGGCCGAATCACTAGGATCCCTTCACCCGCTCCTCGCTGCCGCATTGCAACTCCTTGGCGAACTCCAGCCCCCAAACCACATCCCCCATCGACGGCCTGTCTACTCTGTTCTCCACCAAGCAGCTCATCGCCACCTCCGCGAACTTCTTCAGACACTCCGGCGCAATCTCTCCGTCCAGATCCCGGTCCACAATTTCTGCCACTCTGCCCTTCTTGATGACCAGGGTCAGCGCCTTGAAGCAGGAGATCGAGAACGCCGCGAGGTACCAGACGACGAAGGAGCCGAAGACGACGCAGCTCATCAGCTGGGTTCGAGCCAGGCCGCGGTGGAAAATAACAATTAAAAGGAAATAGGTTTTTATTTTTATAATAATTAGGTGGAAAATAAAAAATAATTAAATTAAATTATTTTATTATTTTTTAATCGCCACGTCACTCATTTAACGGTCAACTATAAGAGTTGACCGCCACATCAGCAAAAGTTAACGGAGACTAACGGCCAGTGACCAAACTTGGACTGTTAACCTAATTTAAGTGACTATAAATGGAATAAATTAATTTGAGTGGCAAACGTGAAATTTTGTAGCAATTAGAGTGACCAAACTTGCAATTAAGCCCATTATCATTATTAGCATATACCATAATTATACGCTCACACAATACCGTATCATTCCTACTACACCTCATCAACACAATCCAAGTAGGGAACCGTCTTCAGGGCAAATCGAATGCAGGACAACAAACCTGGATTAGATGATAGCTACGTTACGTTTCCTCGGAAAGGTCCTAGGAACTTTTGAATCGAAAGAGCAAAATATGGAGTCATCGTGAAGAAGAAAGCAAAATCCCAAATACAAAAGAGAACTTTTTCGAACCCTTTTTGGCTTTCTTCCGCCATTCCCTTTTGTTTTTGTTTCTTCTGCGCAAACATATCAAACAAACGGGGACCTCCCCTGGACTCCTGGTGGGCCCCAATTAGAATTTGTTACGAGCTGTCCAAAAGAACTGTATAATATTAATACTACAATTCAGGTTTTAAATCGGTTTGAATTTATTTATCTATTTGAGTTTTTTTTAAATAATTTCCGCCCTCTAATATATCTATGTTTTAACATTTATAATGTTTTATCACTTTTATTGCTTGCTTGCCACACAAGGCAAAATACAGAATGCTCTAGAATATGTAATGAAACTTATGGATAGTTTTTTTAGAAGGATGGAGAAATCCTATACCAACATTGACACATTATTGAGTTTGAGCAACTCAACTTCAATACGATAAATATCCAAGAGAGATACAAAATGAACACAAAATGTGGGTGATAAAGATTAACCTAATGTAGCAAAATAACAAGCCACAAAAATTGGTCATTCTATAACCATACTTTTGCCTAACCTAACCAAGGCAGCGTTATAAGGCGCCTAATTACAATCTCTGTCTTCGTAGAAAAATATGAGCGGAAAAGAGTGACGGTCTCAATCAGGTTTCGTGGGAAAATCCTCTGAACCAACAACGTATGGTTAACAATCTATATAATGTGCCACTCATTTTGTATTATTTTTTTCCTACCTTCCATTTTGTATTTGTTTAAGAGCAACTGGATTTATAATCTATTGATAGACATTTCCAAATTGATCATTATATCCACCTAGATAGCTATACCCTGTTAAAAACTAAATACATAGTGGGGCCACTTCTCTTTAAAAAATGGGATTAAGCATGGGCTGAGCATCCAAGTTAATTAGCAAAAATGGGGAAAACCACACAATGATGAGTCTTGCCCCTTTTCAAATACTTGGTAACTAAAATAATAATTATGCTCTATTTTTAGCACAGCCCATTCTCCTCATCAACATACTTGCACGACATCCCCCCAATTCACAGGTGACACGTTTTCCATCCTAATCATGTTGCTTTCTTTCTTTTTATACATAGCAATTTGGTCAGAATTTGTGTGCTTCAGCTTAATATGGTTGGATAAATTTCACCCACATAATAAATAATAGCATATTGTATGTAAAAAATTAATTGATATCGTTACTATGCACTTTCAAATCTTTTTCTGATAATTAGATTGATTTATCTACGATATAGTATAAAAAATTTGTTGAATTATACCGACAAAATCGTTGTTGCAATATTTAAGACACTAAACTTATATATGCTTTGTCCAAATCTAATGGTCTCCTGCCAATAGCCACTCTTTCCGATCAAAACAATGCATGTTGGATCTATACAAATTTCGAAATCCACCGACTGACTTTTGTTTGGAGACACGCGCAACTAGTTACATTAGACAAAATTTATCGCCCAAGGAAAGAGAAGAAGCAAAGCTTGGATCTTGCTAGTACTCTTCAAGTAATGACCGACCTTGCAATCCTATGCAAAATGGAATATCTTAAAACATCCGATCCAGTGCAGAGAGAGGGGAGGGACAGGAGGGGAGCAAAGTTTGGAAGCTGTTCCTGGGAAATCTTAAAAGTCTGACATTTACATAGATTTTGTGCTTAGATTAGATTCTGCGAGATCGTTTACTATATTGTGTAGAAAGATTTGGGTCGATAATTTAACTTCCAGCTGATGATGATATGAACCTAACACTTCCATTTCAACCAATTCCGGTTTGATGACATGCATCACATTGGAAGACCTAACTGATAGAAGCAAAGCAAGCCCATTTAGTGGTCTTTTAATATTCACTCCCCCAAGATCTCCAATCCGATCTCAATGTGCTTCACGAGCACCATATATTTGTAGCTCCACCACATTTGTGTATACCAAAAGCCCCCCAACCCAACCCACAGAAGTATGTGAGTGGATTGCGGGTCACAATTATTCCAACCCACTAGCAAGCAGGTGAATCAATTTGAGACCAAAACCCACCCAACCCGCTCGTTGCCCACCCTTACATATACCAACGAATTACAACTAGAGTTGTGATGTCAATGCTTAAAACTAAATGATTCATTTGTAGACTTTGACAAGGAAAAGTTAATGCTCGTTTATAGGGCAACGGTTATGTCACATAAGCATCATGTGTTTATATTAGTTTACAGTCTTGTGAAATCAACTTTGTTGCTAACAGACACCACTGAAATAACATTTTCCACAATGAACTACACGAAGAATACACTTCGGAATAAAATGAGTGATCAAGTAATGGATGAGTTTTTGGTAGAATACATTCAAAGTGACATCCTTAATACTTTGCATGATGTATGTATATTAATTTTTTTTCCAAAATATAAAGATACATTTTGGGTCACGGTAAGAAGTTAATAAAGGTTACCTTATGATTTTTGTTTTAGATCAAACCAACATTGAGTAAAATTCCTGGGTCATGCCACCGATTCACCATGTATGTTACAAGTCGTCTATGGTCAAGAAAAAATACAAGAGGCCTAGTATATATAAACACATGAGGAATGTCACCTTAGTCTGGGGACAAATTTGATGTGGAGAATTATGAGTTCTTTGTGTCCACGTAGCATGATGGTAAAATAACACATCATTCTACGACAGAGCCCGACTCCTCACAAAGCACAACACATAAACCACACAAAATTACCATGTTGTGCATGTGCAATGTCAGTTTGGAAACACAAGACAGCTAGCTAATCTAGTATAAATAGGCCAGTTATGGTCAAGAAAAACACAAGAGGTCTAGTACAAATAGTCTCCTATGGAATGTTACCTTGGTCACGGAACAAATTGTTAGACATGGAGAATTCTGATTCGGGACAACTATAGTGAGAAGATAACACCTTATTCTATGGCAGGGCTCAACTCCTCACAAATTGCACAAAGCACAACACATTAATCACACAAAAATGGCCATGTTGATGCGCATGTGCAATGTCACTTTGAAACCAGAACCAAACTAATCATAACCACATTAATAACACCACCAAATTGTCAGCCAATTAGTACGAACCAATGATTTATTCAATAAGTAATCATTAATTATTGGTTCCAAGGAAGTACTAAATCAACTATATATTTGAGCGATAGTGGGATAAATAATCTAGTCTTAGATCTCTACTCAGATGTGATGTTAACGTTAGCTGGTATATGTGATGATTAGAGACTAAACCTTGTGATGTTACCTACTTGTAATATTACCTAATTTACATATAAAACGCAATAACGATTGCTACAGGATTAACAATTGATTCAAGCACGATCGAGTTATAATCAGTAGGGATACGAACTCTGGATTGAAAATTGGATTCCTGGCTATGGTATCCAAGTTCATAGCAAGAACAGAAGCAAAGTAAAAGGATTGGGGAAGATGGAAGTTAGGAGGCAAAAGGTTGTTCAGAGCTCAAAAGTCAGAAGAATTATATGCATTGAATTGACCGGGAAAGAAAGTATGACCAGACCGACCAGACCCTTATTCCATGCTCTTCATATCTGGAGCTCACTACTGCTAGCTTGTTGATGGAAAAGTAAACGCCTAATAAAAGCTGCATAATGCGATTTGGGTCAATCATTTGCCTTAGGACGAGAGAAGAGTCACCGCTGACTGCCTAATGGGCCATTACTATTTCTCACAACTTGAGAATGGATACAAAGTAAACGCCTAATTAAAACTGGCCTAATGCGATTTGGGTCAATCATGCATGTCAAAACTATCATACTTAAACAAAAAAGGAAACTAAAGAACGATCATACAACAGTACTAGATATACGTGGTTCAATTCTGTTTTATGTTGTGTATGTTCATAGAGTTTATGAGCTTAATAAAAGCAAATAAAACGTAGGTTTAATACCATGTTTGCATACGCACATACCTCTAACCTCTAAGATCGTTCATACGAAGGAGGTCAATAACACCAGCTAGTATACGAGAAATTTTACAATGCTATATAGTATTGGTGCTATAGGTTTTTGCATTTATGGTACAACTTAAAATTGTACATTTACGTTATGGTACAACTTCAAATTGTACCTATACTTTTTGTACAAATTCTTTTATGGTACAACTTGAACTTGTACCTTTATGTGATGGTACAACTTCAAGTTGTAAAGTTGTACCATAACATAATGGTACAAATTGCTTCATGGTACAACCTAAACTTATACATTTAATGTTATGGTACAACTTTGAGTTGTACATTAGAACAC